ATTCCACCAATTTCTCCATCATCATAATCACCCGGGGCAGGCTACAATAGGCCAATCAGTGGCCGCCGTGCCGAGTGGACCCAGTTGAAGTCCACCCCCTACTAATCGAATTTAAAAGAAAGTCTCACTGTGCACGTGAACAATCACTGGGTGATGTAACAGCTCGGCAGACTTCAAGGTCGTCATCAAAAAGAAGACAGAATGATTAATTAAATCGCATAAATCATTACATAAACACTAAAAGCAATGGCCCCAGAATGACCCTTTTGCGACGACTGAGAACACAATAACACGTGACGGGAGAACATGGGGAGAAAGCACACGAGACTGTCAGCTTGTCAGGCAATCACAAAACGAATGTATATAACCAGATATTAAACAATCATTATTACATTTACGCAGAAATAACACACGGAGAATAATGTCGAAACACATATTAGAATCAAAATAAAGTCAATTGAACATTGTGCACAATCGAAAAGGGTGATAAATTCAAGGGAGGTGACAATTTGTACCAGTAGATTTAGATTTGGTTAAACCTTGTTGAAAAGATTTAAGTCTTGATTTAAATTCAATGTGGTCATGTATTACAAGACCGTCTCTGAGGTCTAGTGGTCAGAGTTCCTGGTTACAGATCCATAAGCCCGGGTTCGATTCCTGGAGCTACCAGATTTTCTGAGAAGTAGTGTGTCTGGAAGTGGGTGCACTCAGCCTCGTGAGGATAATTGAGGAGCTACGGATGGAAACACACATACACAGGTATTTGTGTGCCCTTGAAATACATTTCTCCTTTTAATCGTGTTTAGTTAATGTCAAATTGAAGCGGAAATTCACGTTCATTGGGCGTTTGATTTATTCTGCACATTCCACTTTCTTAACACCACCCAGTCTATTGACGTCATTAAACTGTCTGTAAACAAGCTATGGAAATTTACAGCGGAGGTCCACAACTAACTAGAAGCAGTATTATTTTTTTTTGGTAGAACGTACATTCAAAAATTTCCTCAGAAGTAACCTTGTAAATATTTCCGTAGCAAAATGCAGAAGGGTAGGACCAGTTTCTTCACGCGAGCTATATACATGTAGGCTATTTGAGAACGGAAATTTCGTGTATTCTTAATTGACTGGTTACTTTATGATGCTGTGTCTATGGGTGCGGCTAGGCAGTGCCGAATGGGTAATGCTAATATGGTTACGCAGTGTATATTACTAGGTATTATCCCTGCATTTTAATGACGGTACTACGAGATACTTAACATCAAGAGACTCAAACTTCCGTTCGAGAGATGAAGAAGGAGTTGGCCAATACACCGAGACTTTCCAGTGCACTCTCCATTTGACACGAAATTAAACCCAGGATTCAAATATGACTTTTGTGGTCACGGTAATGAAACTTAAGATTATGGACGCGGGATCCCTTGATCAACTGATGCTGTGCAAGGAAACTTCTTTGCAATGCATCTATCATCATCATCATCATCATCATATTTTATGAGGTTTTTATGACTTAATCAATGTACTTTCCTTCCAGCTATCCGGAGGGACTGAGAAAAACGAATTATTATTATTATTATTATTATTATTATTATTATTATTATTAGTATTATTAACTACAATATTCTAAATAGAGCCGGGATAGGGGTCGGATTTCGAATCCCGGTAGGGTCTAGAATTTTCTGTTCTCCATGTCGTCCAGACCGGCTCTGGATTCCACCCAACCTCCTATCCAATGGGTACGGGGAGCTCTTTCCCCAGGAATAAAACGGCCGGGGAATGAAGCTGACAACTCACCTCCAGCTAGTACTGAACTCAAGAAAACATGGATCTATACACCGACTCCCTCATAGACTTTCACGGCGCAGAGTTTAATTATTTAAACACACTGACAACTTTAAATTTTACCTTATTTGTCACACCAGCAGATAATTTCTTAAATGGGCGAATGACCATCTGGTGCTCAGAGAAGAATTCGTGTATTGAAGTTTGCAATTCTTGTCTGATGGTTCGCCACAATTGCTCTTACAAAAACACTGAAGGGAAGAGATTAGTTGGGAGAAATTCGCGTAGCTGCGAGGACGAAATGAAGAAGACCTTGAAGTGTGTGGGGCAGATTCATCTGGCCCCGAATAGAGACCAAATGCGAGTGCTTGTGAACACGGTAATGAACTTTGGGGCTGAAGACTAGTAGCTCCTTCTCAAGGAGGGCTATGACCCATGAAGTTGGGTAACACACTAATTTCTTCCCTAAGTTTCATTTCATTGGCTACGGTGTGAGAAGTGAATCTAGTCCATGCACCCTTTTCCTCTTCAAATGACACGTGACAACATTCGAAGAATAACAAAGCTTAGCCTCCATTCCACGGGTTCTCCTTCGGCTAATCAGTTGCAGAACTGTTCCATTTGAACATTTTCAGGTGGAGACTACATCAGCTGCTCTAACTATAATAATTATAGAGCAGATTGGCCCTTGCACCGCGACCACAGTGATCTAGTGTGCCTTATAGAACAGGTTAGCACAGTCATAAAGCATCTCATTAGCATTCAAGTGAAATTTGAAGCCCTCACGGCTGTGATTATAAAGATTATTGTCTTCTAGGATGTAACGCCGTTTAGTCTGGCAGAAGTTTAACGACGTTTCGACATTTCTGTTATGAAGGTAGAAAGAACACATTCCACAGAAACGTTCGTCATTTTCTATCAGACTGTAAGGCGTCACATCCCAGAAAAGAATAAGTCTTCAACATTCAGGTGGAGACCTGTTGTAATAATGCATCATTCATATCACTAAACAACATAGATAAAAAAAGTAAAAGTAAAGCTAACCCTGTAACAGGCCGTGGAGGCCCATAGGTTTGTGAGATGTCGAAGCTCCCACATTTTGTAGACAATCGGCTCACAGATGGCGGTGAGGTTGTCAGTCTTATATGCAGGCCGACCACCCTTTACCTCCAGGAAGATTCCTGGTACTCATTTCTGTCAGAAGCTGAGTCGACCCCGGGGCAATAGAGCGGCTGGAAGGATCAGGTTAAATGAAACATCCAATGTCCTCATCGGGAACCGAAAGCGCGAACTTCCGGCTTGTTAGCATAGTGCCTCAACGAACTGCAGATTCATTAACTTTACTAAGCTATGTTACAGTCCCTCGTGGCTGGTGCAGTGTTCCTGCTTACGACCTGCTGCGGGATCCACGTCGGATACTCGGCCATACTGCTGCCTCAGCTGAAGGCTGGCAACAGCACGCTGCCCACAGACGACGAGCTGGGATCATGGATAGGTGAGACCTGCACCCCCTCACACCCTTCAATCATAAAATTGTCTCTTTACGTACAGGTTAGCGAGCCTTACATTACGCAGAGCAAATAACAGTCTGAAACTAAATTTATTCTACGTAATATATGACCCCTCGGTCGTCCAGCCCGTAGCCAGTTGCTATACCGACTAATCATAGTCTCACTGTAACTTCAAATCACACATGAAGTCTTCTTTGCACCGCCTAATTCCCTTTCTTTCCCTTATTCTGCGAATACCAATTCCGAAGACTCGATTCCATTCAATTTCTCTGCTCTCAAGCTTATATCCCGACAGGCTGGCGTCTCCAAGCTCGACTCTTCACCTCCGACTCGACTACTGCTCTGTACTCCTACTACTTGGTCGCGCCTTCTCACTGCGTCCTTTAATAACCTCTTAGCACGGATAACACAGAAAACACAGCATCTACTGTTGATGAGGCGTGTTTACCGCGTTGTTGCCTAGCAATAGATGTCCTATTGTCGCGCTGGTTGGCTCTCGAGGGAATACGTTCACCGAGTCGTCTCCTAGCAATGAGTATACACGTCGCAGTATTATACCCAATACATTTCTTCTGTAAGTCTTGTGGTTTTCGATGTAAATAAATAGAGGAAAGCGAAAGCATCAGAAATGTTACCCTACGCGTATTGTATAATTTCCTAATTTGTTCTTGCTTTCCTTATTTCTTTCTTTCTTTCTTTCTTTCTTCTTTTTTCTCCTCTTCTATCTTGTGGTAGATTCTTATGGCATAAGTAAAGATATATTAACTGTTATACTGTTAATTCCTTACGTCTACGCTACGAAATACGGATTTCATGTTGCCTCTGTATTACGATATGAAAATAAATAGCATGCTGACCTTGGATGTGTATCAGTTTGTTTGACTACGCTTCATGTTGAATCATTTTAAACCGAAGTGACCAATCTTTATGTACTCGTACCTTGTAAAAAATGATATGCGCCTGACGTCACAAGACCACTTTCGTCTAAAATGAAAACCTACCAACATGACAACCGTGAGTAATGACATCAGTTGGAGGACTATATCAAGACCATGCTGCTACGATTATGAAGATTTACGTGAACTGAATTAAAGATAGTAGAGAAGTGGAATGCAATTATTTTCCCAAAGCGTTCTTCACGATTTTTAATCCTTCAAAGTCAATTTACTTAGCCTAATTAGTCATAGCCACTATGGGTTGCACCCTTGTAGCTTAAATGGCTTACATTCTTAGTACACAAAACGTAAAATTTGCAACATAAAATTTCAGGGTCAATAAAAATAAAAATTATAAGTTTGTATAACATCGGTTCACACATCTACACGGCTCCACATCCCAGAATACGGCATCCTTCATAGTCATCGCCGTGAAAACCTTACAATAAAATACTGTTCATAGATCCCGATGGGGCACGAAACTAAGAATTACTGTGCTGTCGAGGGCCAGCAGCAATTTAACCGACCGACAACTCTGCGCCACTAACAGGGGAAATAATATGGTAACCCGTATTGCTCGCTCATTTCATATTAACCGATTTGCCTCTTAGTTCAGGAAATAATTTTAAAATTTATAATTGAATGAATGAATGAATGTACAGGGGTTGGGCCTTCTTGGCCCTTGCACCGCAACCACAGTGATCTATTGTATCTCCCCTTCTGATTGTCCCCTCAACAATCCTGCACTTCGAATGAAGCGCAGGATTTGTGCGTGGGGACGTCGAAATAGTCACTTGGTTCCATAAAATATTGACCCAAGTGACGTAATATTAAATAGGGTAAGGCCTCACATTCGCACAGGATATGTGTGGCTGTTTCGTTTTCTTCTTGATACCTCTCACAAGTTGGACTGTTACTTAGTCCTAGTTTGAAGAGGGGTCTTTAAGGTGACAATCTCCTGTAAGTAGTCCCAGCACCTATCGTAGCTGGTTTCTGTTTCACTTCAACAGTTCCTTCGCTCTTTTAGTAGCAGGTCCTCGTATGAGTCCCTTTGCTTGCCTGAGTCCAGTCAAGGATCCCCAGTATTTCTTGTGATTCATATTTGTCCAGCCCCTGATTGCCTTTCTGGTGACTTCTATAGAGATGCCACAGGCTGCCTCAGGTCCTATGAACGGATGTTCAGCTCCAATCTTGGCCAATCGGTCTGCTATTTCGTTTCCAGCAATATCCTCATGCCCCGGCACCCATATCAGTTTGTACCCTGTTATGTGGCAATCCCAGACCAATTTTGAGTTGATCTGGTGTTTGTCAGGCGCTTTAAGTGCAGTTTGGCTGTCAGATAGAATGTAGATGTTCCTATTTCTGTAGTTCCTATCTAGATTCTCCATAATACATGCCATAATGGCATATACTTCTGCCTGGAAAAATTATAATTGCATTCATACGTAGGACGAATCCCGCAAAAGTAGTCAATCATCAGATTTACGACGTCATCTTCGGCACTCGGAATTCTACTATCTTTGCGACAGTGGACAGTGAATATTCTCAATTAACGATAAAGATAACAGAATTTTATATTTGCTTTTTTTTTACTTTAGATATTTTAGAAGAAACATGCGAGAATCTGCGTCTGTGTGTGTGCGCGTGCACCCTGTTTTATAGTTCCCAATCGGCGACGGCGGGAACCATGAAATTACTTTTCAAGAGGTGAGCTCTACCTGAGAGGAGACAGCGTTTACAAGATTCATGTCCATAAGAGAACGGACGTGTATGATTGCAGCCAGTGTGCAGTCGATTGCAAGTCCCTTCGGAGCGCTACTGAGCGGCTTGCTGATGGACCGATGGGGCCGACGCGCTACCCTCATACTGTGCACTGTCCCCTTTACTGCCAGCTGGATCATCCTTGCCTTCGCGAGCCATCACGCCGTCATACTCACAGCAAGAGCAATGGCAGGTTTCGCATCTGGACTCACCATTGCGCCTACACAGGTATGCATTTCTCCCTTGCTGTGTTCTCATTTGTGCAATGTCTGAAGCCACAATAACCTTACATATGCCCGAATATATACACGCGTATGTACCAAATGCCTTATAAATGAGGAGGAAGGTGATCACACGTTATCAGAATTGTTAAATAACTTAAGATGGTGTGATTCATTGTGGATAAACTGGCCCTGGAGGAGGGTTTCTCCGAGTTCCTTTGGTTTTCTTTGCTTATCACCATTCTACCATTGTCACATATTCATCTGTCACCGCTTCCTGAGGTGTGTGATAACTGTAATCCAATATCACATCCTCGGGCCTTAAATCTCATCTGGAATTTGACTGGCTAGCGTAGTGGTTAAGGCACTATGTTACAAGTCGGAAGGTGGCGGGTTCAAATAACGAGGAGGTCATTGGATTTTTTTCAATTGACCTAATCCTTCCGGCCACGCTATGGCCCTGGGGTCGACTCAGCCTCTAACAGAAATGAGTACCAGGAATTCATTAAATAATTTTCCTGGGGAGTAAAGCGCGGATGGCTCGTAAGACTGACAACCTTACTGCCATCTTTGAGCCGATTGTCTAGAAAATGTGGGACCCTCAACGTCTCACAACCCTATGGGCCTTCATGGCCTGTTACAGGAATAGCTTTACTTTTTTTACTTTTTTACAGGTTAAGGAAGTGAATTTAATTGTAATGTAGGTAACAAGACGTTTCAATCAGTAATTTCCCTCAGAGCTGTGTTAATTGGAACAATTCTGTTATTTAAAATAATTTAGTCATATATTTAATCGACTTTCAATCCCTCTGTATTTGGCTCAATGATTTTACTGCCATTTCTATCCGGTATAGGATTTGGATGACAAAACTCTTTCGGAATTTTATTTAGACTTCCTGTTTTTTTATTATCAAATAAAGGATTTCCTTACTTTCAAGACGAGGATGGTACTAACAGATGCGTGTGTCTTTCTCTCGCATATAATTGTGATTGTTTTTGTGTGAGATGGAACAGGCTTTTTGCATCATTTTCTAAAGCTGCAATGCTCTTCCTGAGTATTCATCAACCTAAACAACTGTGTTCTTCGCAGAGATTTTCTTCCGCATAGACCTAAAACCCGACGGACATGGCCGGCGGCAGAGTGTGCATCCCACCCCCCACCATCCAGGATGAAAAATGTCAAAATTCAAAGGAAAAAATCTTAATACATTAAAATGACTGTTTGAGTAAAACATTCTTCTATCAAATATAGTCCCACGATTGTAGAACGATCCGTAAAATTCTTCTTAATGGTTTAAGGTTACTAATTCCTGGTTCCTCCTTTCTCCCTCCCCCCGCCCTAGAAATAAGTCATGGATATTCTCATGATAACATAAAAAATTTTACATGTCAAATTTTCGGTAAAATATATTACGTTAAAATGAAACTGACGCACAGATTTTGAAATTTTAAGAGTGACTTTCAACCAATCTCTTACAAACAGAACCGAGTCTGTTCCCTTGATAACTTGTTCGGACTGGTCTCGCAAGTATGCAGATTCTAATAACCACTAGTTAACTCCGACCAAATTTCATGTTCGAGGTTCAACAACCTAATGATATATCTTCGTGAATCAGATGGATTTCCCTTAATAAACACAGGAATAACAAAATTCTTCCTAAAACTGTAATCTGTGTTACGTTTCAGACACAAAATACTCGTAACGTCGTGTAACAGTAATCAGTGATGTATAATATCATAGTATTCAAAGTATAATGACATCAAAAACTCCATTCAAGAGAAGGGGCTGAATTTAATTAAATTTCCTTATTTATAATTCCCCATATTGATGAATAAGTGAGAAGAAATGCTTATCTTCAATAAATTGCTTCTTAGATTGAAACGAAAGACGAAGTGTCATCTAAGTACGAAAAGAGGAACATTAAAAACCGAAATGGCATTGCTTCAATGCTTAACTGCTCTGCTGTTAGACTGGGAATAAGGTTCTGAAATGAATTATACCCTGCATGTTTTGGTTTAATCATTTCATCGATTGCATTTGTGTCACTAACTTTATGAGCAGCTGATTATTAACTACGTTTTCAATTATTTCGTAGCAACTGTTATGTTAGTATGAATGCAGTATTTGGCCGCGCCATAGATCAAGCGGTTAGTCGCTGGTTTCCCACCGCGGCGGCCCGGTGTTCGATCCCGGGTCTGGTCAAGTGGGATTTGTGGTGGACAAAATGGTGCTGGGGAAGGTTTTCTCCGAGTACTTCGCTTTCCCCTGCCGATCTTCATTCCACCAATTGCTCCACAATCAACCTCACCTATCATCTGGGGCTGGTACAATAGGCCAGAAGTGGCCACAGTACAACGGACTTAGACCCACCCCACTAGTAATAAAAAAATGAATATATTTCCCATTGAAGATTCAACGGAAAGATTCATCATTTGTTATACAAATGGACATAAAGTAGCTATATAATCCCGTCATCTGAGCATGAATTTAGCGCATGCGCAGGTTCAATCCCTTGGGAAAAGTAATTGCTTTCCTACATTTATCCCTCGTCTCCAATTTATTTCTATCTCCTTCTCTCGTCTCTCCAATATACCTTCCCAATCTATTTTATTGGCCAATATACCTTCCCAATCTATTTTATTGGCCTCTCTCCTTCCTTTGCCATCGCCTTTATGTTGAAATAGTTTAGACAGATGTCGCCCAAATGCTTTTATGCGTACAGAAAGCTTCCGCACGTGTTATCAAACGACGCGTCGAAGAAACTGAAAGCAAACACCATCTGCCGGTGGGAGTAATGATGTCCTATGTGAGTGCCATATTCTATATATATGCTTTTCCATGGGTCTGCCTCTTCTGAGATCCCAAACATCACAAACAAACGTACCTGAACCAGCTGGATTCTATAATTAAGAAAGTCCGGAATTCCGTCAGCGAGACGCGGTAACAAAGGTACACTCCTCTATGTTTATTCAATGTTCAGTATTCCGCAGGAATTTAACTACGAATAAACATAGTTAATATATATGCGTACATATGTAGGCACCTCTATAATAAACTCTATAGGTACACCAGATGCTTTAAATTACATTTACTCCCGTGATTTTAGTCTGCAAGCGAACTATACCGACCGAGCGACCGCCGCTTGTCGGCGAAATTAGTGCCAACTTTTGCGGATAGAGGGTGTCGCGTAGTCAGCGCAACGAATCCCCACGACCGTTAACTTCGGTTATCTAGAACGGAGCCGCTTTTTCCTTGAAATAGTAGCTCCTCAGTTATCATCACGAGGCTGAGGGGACCCCGTTCCACACCCACTACTTCTCAGGAAATCTGGTAGCGCCGGGAATCTAACTCGGAGCTCAGGATCTGTAGCCAGGAACTCTGACCACACAGAGACTATCTTTAAATCAATTTAATTCGTATTAATTATTTCTCATATCAAACCCAGAATGAGTAAAACAATTCCTTTACAAAACACGATATTACAAGATCGGAACAGACATGAAACATTATTAAATTAAGGGACGGGGTACACGAATTTACGACGAGATTGTAGCAAGGTTAATATTTTTATGATACAGATATTCTTTTCGCCGCTCGGTAAACCGCGACTGGTACTTGGAATATCACCAACATAAAGCGACAGTATGGTACACAGAGGCTCATACACCTCAAGAATAACTTGATTGCCTTCTCTATTGTTTGTATCCTGTTGTGTATTACTACATAACCGTCAACATAACAAATTCGTAATAAATAAACCAATATTACCGTATTAGTTTTCGTTTACTATGCACATTACTACATGTTTCGATCCAGCTGGATCATCATCAGGCAATGTTCATAAAATGTACAACTCGTATTGAATTGTATTTCTAATGTGGGTCCATATTTGTGGTCATATACACAAATTTCTTTACGATTCTTGTGTTTCATTACTTTTGAATATTAGTGTTAAAATGTAAAATGTTATAACTCATTTAGAAGTTAAAAGTTAAAATTAAATTAAAATTTGATAATCTATGATGATGTGTCGTAGAGTCGGGTGGGTTTCTAGGAGTCTGTCTTCTATTTTAATTATTATGTCCCATATTACATGGCGGTTTTCCGCATGAAAGTGGTGTATGTTCTCTTTTCCTTCTACCCCTCCTTCCACCGTGAGCGACCGTGACAAATTTACTGTGTATTTTGTATTGTGTTCTGTACATGGTAACCAGTTTTCTTACTATTAGATAGCGGCTGTGTCCATATCTGTGGTTCTGTTTGTACTAACCTATGACGGTTAAATAATAGTACTATAACTTAATTGCATTTACTGTAGATATCCAAGAAGGCTAAAACAGTTGTTATTGTTGACAGTTAACAGTTGTTAACTGTAATAACAGTTCACAAAATAATCAGTAGCTGATAAAGCTGTTGTACTCCATCTTTTCAAAGATGCATCAAGACATACAATTTCATATTTTCGCTTTGATCGGGGTCGTATTTTAATGAATTGTTAAAGAAATGTTAAATCTGTCCTCGCGCTTAACTAATTAAGCACTACGCCATTAATGTGTATGAGGACTGGTATTACAGCGTATAGTCAGCTTCAAGCCTCGGCCGCTTTACCTCCGGGTAGGTACTGAATGTTGACTTGCGCGTGTTCCAGGTGCTGGTGGGTGAGATATCTGAGCCCCGAATCAGGGGCATTCTGACAGGCACAAACTTCCTGAGCCATTCTATAGGGATCCTGCTGGTCTACATTTTGGGAGCCTTCATGGAGTGGAATGTAGTGTCCGGAATCAGCGCAGTATTGCCACTGTTGTCTTTCGTGGCATTCGTCCTGCTTCCAGAAAGTCCTGTGTGGCTCGTCAGACACAACAAGATCGAGGAAGCAGAGAAAGCCTTGAGGTGGCTTCGTGGAGGGGGAATACAGGTGAGAAGATGCCAGTGGACATGTGGGCTATTGCCCCCAGACGGTGAATCACTGAAGTACGGAAAGCAGCCATAGTGGCATGATTTAGAAAGAAAGTAAAGTAAAAAAGTAAAGCTATCCCTGTAACAGGTCATGAAGGCTCATAGGACATATATAACTTATTTATTCCTGGCTCATAGGGTTGTGAGACGTTGAGGGTCCCACATTATCTAGACAGTCGGCTCAAAGATGGCGGTGAGGTTGTCAGCCTTACGCGCCGGCCGCGCTTTACTCCCCAGGAAAATTACTTAGAAAGTGCTCTGAGAAATAAGGGGTAACTGAAGCTACCCCTGTAACAGGCCGTGGAGGCTCCATAGGATTGTGAGATGTTGAGGATCCCACATTTTCTAGACAGTCGGCTCAGAGATAGCGGTAAGGTTGTCAGCCTTATGCGCCGGCCGCCCTTTACCACGAGGAACATTCATGGTATTCATTTCTGTTAGACGCTGACTCGACCCCAAGGTTATAGTGCGGTTGGAACGATTAGTTAAATTTAAAAATCCAATGACATCATCGGGATTCGAACCCGTGACCTTCCGACTTATACCACAGTAAAAAGGTAAAAGTAAAGTTATCCTTGTAATAGGCTGTGGAGGCCCATAGGGTTGTGAGACGTTGAGGGTCCCACTTTATCTAGATAATCGGCTCACAGATTGCGGTAAGGTTGTCAGTCTTACGTGCCCGGCCGCCCTTTACCCCCAAGAATATTCCTGGTACTCATTTCTGTTAGAGGCTGAGTAGATCCCAGGGCCATAGTGTGGCTGAAAGGATTAGGTAAATGGAAAAATCCACCTCATCGGGCCTCGAGCCCGTAACCTTCCGGCTTGTAGCATAGTGCCTCAACCAACTATGCTATCGCGTGCCCCCTTTGTAGCACAGTGCCTCAACCAACTACAGCTACAAAAACTAACACGTGTCCTATCTGAAATTACCACAAATTTCAAAGCATGTGTCACGCCTCAACCTTTCCTCAGTGATAACACGCTGAAAGCATGTATGATATGTTAACTTTATGTCAGAATAGCGGAGAGGTGTTTCTGTCACACGAACAAGCTTTTCTATTATTTTACACGCGCCATGCGATATGTGAGAAGTACACAACTGATGACGGATTCTATAAATAAATCTACGTACCATCAAACGATGGCCTATTTGGGACGAAAAATTTTGCAACTGAAATAATAAAAATATTTATTTGTGTGCCGGAGCAACCTCTCCTTTTACATCCGTAAATACCACAAAGAGGATGCAACATCACGCGATATAAGACTGGTGCATGTTTCTCTCGCGGTCTCTCGCCGAAACTCCAAATAAAAACTAAATTCCGAAAGTACGGGCCTAAAAGGTCAGGGCCGTGTGTGGGGTAAAGAAGAAGAATAGAATTAGATTGACACAGTTAACACCAAACTCCAATATACACATATTCTCACTCTGACAATGGATAGTCAAAATGTAAAGCATTTCACATTCTGCATTTGTTGACAAATAATCCACTATAGGATAGCCCTCCGTAGTAATCGAACAGATCTCCTGGATAAAACGGCTGTTGTGAACAGAAACATTCTTCGAATGAAGTACACGTACATAAATGAACCTATTAACATTCGTGCCGTCAAAATAGTTAAATAATAGTAGTTAGAATTAGATTCTTTAGTATTAAAATCGTAAGGAAGAGTGATTTATATCAACTTAAGAATTCTCTGCGTGGACGTTTCTCTATGGTTGAGAACCAACTAAGTGTCCAAGCATAGGTATTCACGACCGTAAATTACTGAATCTTTAAATATAATAATTTTTCGTACATAACATGTAAGTTCAATGTCAAGTCCATATTACATACAACTTAAGTCGAATGTTTTTTATTTCCTGAAAAAATGTCCTACTGTAAAAAAATGGTAACCTTAACACTAACAGCACTTAACATGTCTTTCTGAATGTTGTTTGGTGAAAGTCAGAAAACTTTACGTTTGTTAACGATAAGGCGACCGTAAAAAGTCCATATTTCAGTTCAGTTTGAGATCAATACTTGATCAACTATCATAACTATAAATTCGATAGTTCGGACGACAATAACGTACCTGAAAATATAGTACAAAAATTTGTAATGTTTTAACAGTTACAAACATGGCTATACTGCGAATTTTTGTTGATATGTACGACAACTGGCAGGTAGAAAATTCTATCCCATAAAATACTGTCACGTGTATTAGTGACTTGTAGAAGGGGTTTGAATTGGTGAATCGATTTATTGGACACATAAGTCTTAACTACAGACAATTATTAACACTCTCAAGATTACTGTGACTATAGCACATGAAGAGCGGCTGGCGCGTAAGGCTGACAACCTTACCGCCATCTTTGAGCCGATTGTCTAGATAATGTGGGACCCTAAACGTCTCACAACCCTATGGGCCTTCACGGCCTGTTACAGGGATAGCTTCACTTTACTTTCTATAGCACATAAAGTCTTCAATGTCTGTTAAGACTTCACAGCTGAATCATCGCAACTCTTTCCATGACGGCTTCGTGTTCTCGACTCGAGGCTTTTCAACTGGGACTGACTCACACATAGATCGTTTCAGTCTTGAGTCTTATGTTACGACCGACGGTCAGTTAACCTGTCTGTCTTGGAATGAAACACCCATTTGGGGCTTACGACCAGACGTTTATTACTGTAAGACAGTTGTGGGTTTGTTGATTGGGGCGTTCTCTCTGACGAGTGGCCGGGTCTGTAGTTTACAATTGCTGTTGGCCTTCCCCAGGGCCGTTATTCTCGGGTCCGATTCCAGTGGGCCTCGCGACCTTATTTTACTGTCTCAAATTCGAGACTTCCTTTTCGTCGCCTCCTACGGCTCCCAGGCCTACGGTGGAAGTATTCGACCCGCTTCCCCTATTACTGCGTTGTGCTGGCTACGCCTGCAATGCCGTGGTAAACAAATCCGCTGCCCAGCAACGGACCTGTATTTGTTGACAGCGTAACACTAGGAAAGTGTTTAGCCAAACGTTACCTAGCAATGGCCGTATTCTCTGACCTCACTGTTCCGGCTTTCAGGCGTCATGTCACAATATGCAATACAGTGCATCAGGCAGCTGGAAAGTTTTAATGGTAAGCAAACAAAGTAAACTGACTCCAGAAATTCTGGTCTCGTTTAGTGAAAATGTTAGCTAATAAACCATTTGCTAAATATCAAATCAACCTATAATACCGTATTTACGCATGTATAGGCCGCACATTTTTTGCCAAAAATTCAAGAGGAAAACTGGGGTGCGGCTTATATTCGAAATATTCGAAATCACACTTCATTTAAAAAAAATTATATTCATAATTAGTAATACAGGGTGTAATACTCCTGAAATAATATTCCAAGAAAATTATTTTTTCTATAATTTCTGTCTGAAAATTGTGCTGCGGCCTATACACGCACGCGGCCTATACATGCGTAAATACGGTAATATAACTGAATCAGTTAGTTGGAAAAGTGAATATGTCAACGTTTCATGTCCTGGAGGTACCTGGGAAGCTGACATTTCACTATACTATTTCATTTGTAAAGCAATATTAGAATTCGATTACAATGTGATGGCATAAACCTGCGCGAAAGAGGGGAAGTGAAGGGGAAACAGAACAGCCCAGTGAACAAGCCAGTTACGAGTCACTCCATTGCAGAAACCAGCTGCAAGCAGCGAATTTAACTGCCTACCCTTTGTATCGAAAGTCTGAATACTGTAGTCCGTATAGCGATCAGCTGCGGGCTGAACGATCGAAGGGTCGGAGTTCGAGTCCCGGTAAGGTCAAGAATTTTCTCTTCTCCACGTTGTCCAGACCGGCTGTGGGGTCCACCAAATCTCCTATCCAATGGGTACCGGGGGCTCTTTCCTCGCCGTTAAAGCGGCAGGGGCGTGAAGCTGACCACTCACCTTCAGATAATGCAGAGGTCCAGAAAATATGGATCTATACGTCCACTACCCTGTACTCCTTCATGGCGTAATGCCTAATGATTTAAGCACAGAGACAGTTCGCTTTACTTACACCTTGTATCTGGTATAAGAGAATATGGACCCGTCCGTTCCGCCAATAGACGAAAATTATCATCTACACATGTACCATCACATTGTAATCGAGTTCTAACAGCGATCTTTCATGAGAAAAAATAAATCTAATATAATTGTAACAGCTCTTCTCAACTCAGTAATATTTAACTGGCTGTGTTGATAGGCAAAACGTGAGCTGCAGCAGCTGGTATCAAGATACCGACCAGAGAAAGTGGAAGGTCTGATGAAGAATGGCGGAGAACTTACAACCAAATCCATCAGCAGCTGCTGTCAGGACCTCTCTAAACCTCACAACCTCAAGCCAGTCATCATCGTCAGTCTCTTCTACTTGATTCAGGTCATTTCTGGGACATATCTCGTAATATTCTACGCTGTCGATATAATCACACAAGCGGGGAAAAGCGAAGGCTTGGGACTTGATAGGTTCCTGGCCGCAGTTCTCACCGGTGCAGCCAGAGTGTTCTTCGCGATTGTCATGTGCTTCCTGCTCATGTGTATGGGACGCCGACCACTTTTAATACTAGCAGGATTGCTGCAGACGCTGTCAGCCTTTTCTGCTGGTACCTTCTTATACCTGAAGAACAGGATCAATATTACAGACTACGAATTTCCTGCGTGTAAACCGGTTATTATTGCAAGTATACTGGTTTATGTAGCCTCAAATACATGTGGTTACTTCTCTATGCCAGGAATTGCAATGGGAGAACTCCTACCAGCTAAAATCCGAGGTTCTGTTGGAGGATACATCCTCGCCGGTACATATCTGGGATTTTTTGTTACCACTAAGATCTTTCCATGGCTTTGTGACTTACTGGAGGTACACGGTGTGTTTGGTCTTTTTGGTGTTACAACAGCAGTTGGAACTTTTATCATGTATCTTTTCTTGCCTGAAAGCAATGGAAAATCTCTCTTACAAATAGAAAATTATTTTTGGCAACCAAATTTCTTCTGGGTGGGAAGAAAAATGGTATTATCACGCAGAGAAACTAAATCGGAAGATTATGAAATGCAAGTTAGAAGATGAAGGATTGCGAAACGCTTGTTATGAACCAAGCCAGGAATATTTCAGTCCAGAGAATACCGCATTCTAGTGCGCTCCTTACACAATACATAGAATTACGTGCTTTATAAATGGCGGTGGTTTTTATATTGACTTCGGAATATGAGTTTTAATGACTCGAGTGTAAGATGTTACATATACGTAGGAAAGTAAAAAAATTATTCGCACTCTTGTTTTCCCAATTTATATACACAAAAGTGGGGGTTGAACAAGTATGTCATTTTTCTAAATAGCTCCTTCTTTCCGATGCACTTGGTCCAGCGGTCCAAAAGCTTGCGTATTCCCTCCAAGCAGAGGGGTTTCTGTTGGTCGCGCAACCATTTATGCACCGCTTCTTTGTCCGTAGAAAATCAACGACCCCGTAAAGCATCTTTGAGCGGTCCAAAGAGATGATAGTCGGAAGGGGCGAGATCTGGGTGTTCCAGCACCTCGAAACCCAAATGATTAACGGTTTTAACGGTCTGGGCGGCTATGTGTGGGTGTGCATTGCCATGCAACAACAACACTTTCTTCAACAATAGACCTCGGGGTGTGGTACGAATTGCTGGCTTCAGATTGTTGGCCAACAAATCACTGTATCTTGAACTGTTGATCGTACACTCTTTTTCCACGTAGTCTTCCAGTGTAGGCCCTTTTGGGTCCAAAAAACAGTTAGCATCACCTTTCCCGTGGAAGATTGAGTCTCGAATTTCTTTTTCGTTGGCGATCCCATGTGTTTCCATGCCATACTCTGGCTTTTGGATTCTGGCTCATAGTGATGGACCCACGTTTCGTCTCCTGTGAATATTCTGGTCAAAAATTCTTTGCCTTCAATATCGTAGCAGTTGAGTAAGCATTGGCATATCTCAACACGCTTGTGCTCTGCGGTGAGCTCTCTTGGCACCCATCTCGTACAGACTTTATGGAAGCCGAGCTCGTCGTGAATGATTTGCTAGGCAGAACCATGACTAATCTGCAGGGAACAGGCTACTTCATCGATGTAACTTGCCGGTTCGCCAGTACCATCTCTCGAGCTTGCTGAATCTTCTCGTCAGTGGTGGAGGTTGACGGGCGTCACGCTTGTCCGGCCACTTTTAAACTTCCCGAGCCACTCATACACACTTCTACGCGGTAGAGCACTGTCCCCTATTGTAAAGCCTCCGATGAGTTTCAGCCCCTGACACACCTTCCGACCAGAAAAATCGGATCACTGCTCTTTGTTCCTCCTTGGTGCACACTGCTAGTGGAGCGGCCATGTTTACACTGTCACAGCATCAAGAAAAATGACGCGATCAAGGTCAAACTTCGATCACGTGACCACAGTAGTACCAGCTCTAAGCCTGCATGCGCAGAAGGCAGTGTGACAAATCTAAAGATGTGTTATGTCGAAAGTGCGGATAATTTCTTACTTTCCATCCTAAATACCGCAATGAATGACTGTTTCATGTGTCAGACAAGTAAATTCATCAGTTTCCTTTCGAGCAACCAAAAAGACAACTGGTATGATCTTTGGCAATACCGTGTGCATTTAAAGCACTTAAGCTTGTGTATAATCATGTATTTTTTTAATATTACGAATCTTTTTCTGTGAATCAACTGTATACATGACACACACTTCTCATCACTTTAAATCTCACGTCCTTACATGACGTAATTCCAAAAATGTAATTAGCTGTGTGTGACAATTTTACTGAATATGAATGCAATACTGAACACAGGATTAAATTTAAGAAGCGAATGCAAATGACGCGGACGATGCTGATATAAACTGTAACCGTCCCCTTTCCTTTCTTTGTACTCATATACCGGCTCCGGTAGATCGCTGAGAACTTCTCAGGTTTGTTACGGCAATAACTGCTACAAATCAACAGCACAACTTCTTCCACTGTCCATAAACTGCTTATTTATTTAAAATCGAAATATTACAACTTCCTTCGCGAAAGCAAAGAGTAACATGGTCCTTTAATATCAACAAAATATAACGTTCCAAAACGAAGGGCTGATTACTTTAGACCAGCCGTGTCAAACATGCGGCCCCCATAGCCACAAAGTGCGGACCCTCAACTTTTAGAGCTAATTGATATTAAAATCAATATTAAAATTTTAATGGAAATATTTTTTGTAAAGACAATTTTCCAGCAGACCGGAAGACAAGAAGTCTCACGCAGACATAAATTAGCAGGCTGCAGAAAAAGTGATTCTGAGAATTGCAGGAGGGTTTGTCCAACTAACGGTTTGTAAATTTCGTGAAGGACAAACTATTTTATTTCAGAAGGTTAATGCACTAAAATCCGTACAGCCTCACCACCCCAAGTATTTCCAAGAATCCCTTTTGGAGGCGTAGTAAGATTGCAAGGAGGGTGGTAACTGATAGACAAGTGCAAGAGATTTCTACCTTCAAAACTAGCTTGCAACCCCCAGCCATTGTCTAATGGGCTGCTAGCAAACTTTCACGTTTATGACCATTGAGACAAGATACACCTTCCTACTAGTCCGGCAGTCTCTTGTACACTGTCAGTCAGTTCATTTTCACACAGCGACAGGTGCTGATGTTACATTGTGATGAAATAAAGGTTATAATTAAACATTAAATTATCAACTACGAGGTTTCTTGTATATGTACAGTAACTTTTAATGGGCAATGTCGCTTTCAAAAAATTCAAGTAGCAAAAAAATAACTACTGAAAGTGAGCGCCGTGTTTTTCATGAAAAATGGGAAATCGCTTATTTCTGTTGTGAAATAGAAGGTAAAATTACATGTTTGATTTGTGGGAAAAATATAAGTGTTCCACTTTAGGTAATTATACTGAAATTATTCCTAAATAATAAATAGAATTAAATTTCCTTGTATCAAAATCTAATGTATATTTCTATTTTGAAGTGCGGCCCTGGACTATTATTTATAGGGCTGAGGTGGCCCTCTGTACAAGTTGAGTTTGACATGCTTGCTTTAGACTAACCTGAGGAGTGCGGCCCAATCACTTCTGACTCCGATTAATATAAGACGCCCTGTCCCCCAAAACTGGTATCTTGCAGGAGCGTCGCTTCATCCCCAATGATCTCAATTGACATCTCGCTCAGATAAGAATTCGTCGTAACTAACCAAAGTCATCATGCAATCAGTACAATCCAATCACATAACGACTTCTGAGAATAAAGCACTTCCAAAAATATAGAACTCGGAACCCCACATTTGAAAGCGGTTGCATTTTTCTGTTTAGCGTACAGCTAGACCCTCCTGAAGACAATTTATGACAGCGACGCACGTCAAAGAAACAAAATTTACGCCTCCAGAAAACTACAGACATGCCTGCCATGGTGACCTTGTCATTTTATGCACATTCAAACTGAATGAAAACTAAAACAAAGTTGTTTTTTATGTCCAAATACGAGGAAAAATTATAACTCGCTACTAAATCATTCTCGCCAATAAATCAGTCACCCTTCCGAAATGACTACAGAAAGAAACAACGTCCGCGGAGAACTGTAACAGGTTTGGACCGTCACAAAACATGTCTGTATGAAAGCGTTTCCTCAGCTAAGAGACTTGGAATTGATGTCTGGGATAAGGATTAGAATCTTAAATGAAGACTTTTACGTAAGTTTTTAAACCTTTTCTAACGCTTTTAATTGTTTTACAGAATTAAGGTTGCTGATTTGTAAAATGTTTGGGAGCAACAGTAAACTAGAACGCCGTACGGGTTAGTTGAGTCTGTCTCTCACTTTCTTTTATAAAGTAAAGCTTCATAAAAATTTCACAGTGGCGCTGCTTATGTCAACTGCATCTCTTCACTGAGTTCTTATTAAAATATTTCAGCGCGTTATTATTAAGAACGGGGACCGCCTCTATGGTCTAGTGGTCAGGGTTCCTGGCTACAGATCCAGAAGTCCGGGTTCGATTCCCGGCGCTACCAGATTTCTTTCTGACAAGTAGTGGGTCTGGAACGGGGTCCACTCAGCCTCGTGATGATAATTGAGGAGCAATTTCAAGGAAATAGCGACTCCGGTCTAGAAAACCGAAATTAATGGCCATGGGGATTCGTTGCGCTGACCACGCGACACCTTCTATCCGCAAAAGTTGGCATTAAACTTCGCCGACAAGCGGCGGTCGCTCGGTCGGTACAGTTCGCTTGCGGACTAAAATCACGGAGTTTTATTATTAAGAACGGTATAGCGAGTGACAAATATATTGTACGCCTATAGCTCTGAATGTCTCGGAGCATCTTAGAATAGGAACTAACCACATTTGTGCAAGTTACATCTCGAATCATGTGACAGACTGAAAGTCAAATAAACCTGCAATTTAACTTATTTTCTATTTAATACTGTAGCGTGTTTTGTGTGTCAGGCTACAAATAAGTTTACGCCGTGGTATTTGATACAGCGAATTTATTCCGCTCGCTCACCTTACACACTTTACAACCATTAGCTCTTGCAGTGTTACAATTACTGCTCACAATATCTCGGTGATACTGGACTGTCTTCTTCAGCGGTTGGATCCAGACTAACTTCTTTGGCGACTAATCCGAGACTCTCTTCTTCGGCGGTTGGATCCAGACTAACTGTGCGAATGCATTCAACCCCGTTTTATAACCTCGGTCGCTGCTATGCAAGCGAACCCTTTGTTATAACCGTGGAGACTCTTGTTAGAACTACAATAGAGCGATTGTTGTTTCCTATGCAACGGTCTATTCTAGCGTTTCCATAGAAGTGACTCTTCTGGATTCCAGACACGTTACATTGCTCCCTTCTAAAGGTTGTTCGTCCCGGAACAGCCTAAAGGTTCTCCCTCGGTTTCGATTCCGCCGTGTTTTGCTGGCAACGTCTTCATTCGGCTTTGCTGCTCTGCTGGCATCTTTGTGCGCTGTTCGTCCAGCCGCATCCGCCCCTCTCTTCAGTGGTGCTCGCCCCCGAGCACTCCCGTGGTCCAGAATTTGTTGATCCGTTGTATCACATTCACTCATCACTTTCATTCTTACAG